TAATGTTTAAAATCTTATTCTTATTAAAATTTTCTGTATTAAGGCCATTTCCTGGGATGTGATATAGTAATTAAATGGAAAAAAAATTTTACAAAATCAAAATTGAAAAGATTAATGAAAATTTAGTTGAGCTTTTCTATTTTTAAAAAATTTTATTTTTTAAATTTTTTTTTAAACTTAAAAGAAAAGACATTGTCATTTATTTTATGTTAAGACTGAAATTGCCATTATTAAAAGTTTAAATCGTGAACTAAAAGTTATTTTATTTTATTAGGTAAATTTAATTATGTTTCAACAGGTTTTCAAAATTTCCATTTAAAAAAAGTTTAAAATTTAAAGTTTTTTTTTTTCAATTACTATTGCACTAAATATTTTTATTTTATGTATTTACATTAGTGTGGGTCATACTTCAAAAATGGTAATCATGGTATTTTAAAATTTGTTATTAAATTATAAAAATTAATTGAAGAAAATTTTATAGTATTTTAATTTTTTTTTTTTGCATTTTGAAAGGCAAATAAAAATCAATAAAATATTAAATAATTGCAGAAAATATGTTCATTTGTAAAAATTACTAGGTAGTTAAAAACCAAAAAAATGTGTTCACTTAGATTTCTGACAATTATGTCAATTCAGGTCATCCATAGTAGCTGTCATCACTTCGTCAATCAGCAGTCCATCAAATGTTGGATCAGATGAACAGGACCAATCATTAATAATTGGTTGTATATTATTTTTTTTATGCTTTAAGTAAGTAACATTTATTTCAAATCAGATTAATTTAACTTTAAATTTTCTAATTTTACTCAAATAAGGTGTCAGAAATAGATATGTATTTTTTGAAAGAATTTTAAAATAAGAAAAATTTTTTGCTTACAAATTTCTTAAAATTAAGAAAATGGCCGCTTTTAAGAAAATTTTATGAAATAGAAATTAAATTTGACATTCCAATCTATATAATTTCTATCTGAAATACACCAGAATATTTTACTTAATATAAAAAATAAATTTAATTATTAAACTCTCAATGAAGCTAAAATGAAATCTCAAAAGAATTTTTTTTCATTTTAAAAAATTTAATTTTAAACCTAAAATATAAAAAATTTATTTGAAATATTTTATAGCCATTTAAAATGAAAATTTTTTGCCACCAATGGAAAGTGTTTAAAGATTTAAAATGAATCATTTTAAATCAACATTTTAATTTATAATTGAAAACAAAACCAATAAAATGTTGAAAATACTAAATCATTTAAGTAACAAAAGAATAATGGGGAAAATTTTTCATGAAACTTAAAAAAAAAATTTAATAGCATGAAATGTTCAAAGAGCCAAAAAATTATATTCACATAAAATTTGGGAAAGGGTTCAAAAAACATTTTTTTAATTTTAGACAGTATTTAAATCAATTTGTAAATAAAACAAAGAAAAAAAGAAAAAAATTGAGGGATTTTTGCAAATATAGTGAGTCTTCACTTTATATAATGAAATTTCTCATTTGTTGCACCCTGTAAGAATCCATTTAAAAGTTAATTAAGAATTTTTTCTAAAACATTTATTTCTCAGAAAAAAAAAAAATATCTAAAAATATTTCCTGCTTTAATTATTAGTTGATTTTTAAAAAACAAATCAAAAGGGTCCAACAAATGCATTTTAATAAAAGGTTTATTAAGTTGGATAATAATTTTAATTTTTAAACAAATTTTTGAATGAAAAATTAATCTCATTTTTAATGACAAATCAAATGCATAATTAAAAATAAAAAAAAAAAATAAAAATATATTTTTATAATATTTTATTATATTTATTCTGTTATTTATTTTGATAATGATGTAACCAATATTTAAAAATTTAGAAAAATTTCAACAAAAAGCAATTTAAAAATTTTTTTTACTAAAATTTTGCCATTTTGAGCAGAATGCTTTGAAAATCAGTGCAACAACATCTAAACCACTAAAAAATTTTTTATTTCCTCAAATGGAAGAATTTTTGTGTAAATATAATTTATTTGTTGACATAAAAAAAATTCTTTTAAATAGAGTCAAACCATTTTAAAATTTATTTTTTTTTTAAAAAAAAAAAAAAAAAAAATAAATGCAATAAAAAAAAAGACCCATTTTATTGTCTAATAAAATTTCACACAATTAGGCAGATTTGAACAGAATTATGGAAGGGGACACCAATTCTAAAATTTTCCACATACACCCTTTTTTAATTAGCTGACCCAATTTTGTTATAAATGATAAGTCAACTAAATCAGTACCTGGTTTTTTAATTTTTACAACATTTTTTTAGTTTAATGCCAAAAATTTAGAATTAAAAAAACAAAATTTCAAAAACTATTATTTTGCTAATTTTAATTCAAAATGAGCTTGTAAAATTATTATTCTTCAAAAAAATTTTTTTAATTTTTTTTTTCAAAATGTATTTTCAACTCAAAAATTTTTTAATAATAAAAATGTATTTTTAATAATTTTTTCTTCAAAATGTAAAAAATTTTTTCTTCAAAATGTTAAATCTTATATAAAAATTTTTTTCTTCAAAAATGTATTATATAATAAAAATGTAAAATTTTTTCTTCAAAATGTATTCTTAAATAATTTTTTTTCAAAATATTGTAATATAAAAATTATTGAATAAAATCTTCAAAACAAAATATTCTAAAATTAAATTTAAAAAAAAGAAAAAAAAAAAAATGTAAATAATATGTTTTTTTTTCAAAATGTATATAATAATTTTTTTTCTTCAAAATGTATTGTTTTTTAATTTTTTCTTCAAAAATGTATTATGTAATAATTTTTTTTTTCAATTTCATTGCTTGTAATAAAAAATGTATTGTTTGTAATAAAAAAAAACAGAAAAAAATTGTTTTAAAATTTTTTTCTTCAAATTTGTAATAAAAAAAAAATTAAAAAATTTTTAATTTTTTCTAAAATGTATTGCAATTTTAATTTTCAAAAAAATTTAATAATAATTTTTTCTTCAAAAATTGTTTTAAAATTTTTTTCTTCAAATAATTTTAAATTTTTTTCTTCAAATTTTCAATTCTAAAATAAATAAACTTTTTTTCTTCAAAAAATAAAAAATGTATTAATAATTTTAAATTTCAAAATGTAATTTTTTTAATAATTTTTTTTCAAAATGTATTGTTTTTAATAATTTTTTCTTCAAAAATGTATTGTTTGTAATAAATTCAAAATTGTATTGTTTAGTAATAATTTTTTTTTTAAATTGTTTGTAATAAAAAAAATGTATATTTTGTAAGAATTTTTTTTTTTGTTCCCATCTTCAAAATGTATTGCTTGTAATAATTTTTTTTTTAAAAAATTTTTTTTTCAAAATGTATAAAATTTTTTCTTCAAAAATGTATTGTTAAAATTTTTTTATCTTTTTTGTATTTACTGTAATAATTTTTTCTTCAGTGCAAAATTTTGTAATAATTTTTTCTTCAAAACTATATTGCTTGTAATAATTTTTTAATTTTTTTGATTTTTTTAAAAAATGTAATGTATTTTTTTTTTCAAAAATGTATTGCTTTAATAATTTTGGTTAAAAATGTATTAAAATAATTTTTTTTTCAAAAAATGATATTGCTTTAATTTTTTTTTTTCAAAAATTTTGTAATAATTTTAAAAAAAAAAAAAATTTTTTTTAAAATCATTTTGTTTGTAATAATTTTTTCTTCAAAAATGTTTGCTTTAAAAATTTTTTTTCTTCAAAAATGTATTGACAAAAATTTAATTCAAAAATGTATTGTTTGTAATAAAAAAATTCATATTACTTGTAATTTTTTTTCAAATTTCAAAAATCATTTGTAATAATTTTTTTTTTTTAATTTTTTTTTCAAAATGTATTTTTAATTTTTTTTTTCTTCAAAAAATGTATTGCTTGTAATAATTTTTTTCTTCCAAATGTATTGAATAATAATTTATTCAAAAATGTAATAATAAAAAAAAATGTATTGTAATTAATATTGTAAAGAATAATTTTTTCTTCAAAAAATTGCTTGTAATAATTTTTTTTAATTAATTTTTTGTAATTTTCAAAAAATTGCTTGTAATAATTTTTTTCTTGTATTGTAATAATTTTTTTTTAAAAATGTAACTTGTAATAATCAAAAATGTATTGCTTGATAATAATTTTTTCTTCAAAAATGTATTTTTGTAATAATTTTTTTCAAAAAAATGTATTGCTTGTAATAATTTTTACTTCAAAATGTAACTTTAATGAATTTTTCTTTAAAATGTATTGTTTGTAATAATTTTTTTTTCAAAAATGTATTCTTGTAATAATTTTTTTTTCAAAATGTATTTGTAATAATTTTTTTCTTAAAAAATGTATTGCTCCAAAATTTTTTTTTAAAAAAAATGTAATTTATTTAACTTTTTTTCTTCAAAAAAAATAATAATTTTTTCTTCAAAAATGTAATAATAATTTTTTTCAACAATATTTTATAATAATTTAAATAAAAAAATTTATTGCTTCAAATAATTTTTTTTAATAAATTCTTTTAAATTTTTTAAAAAATTGTTTATTTGTAATAATTTTTTATAAAAAATTGTTAATATTTTTTTTTTTTGTAATAATTTTTTCAAAATGTATTTTTTTCAAAATGTATTGCTTGTAATAATTTTTTCTTAATTTTTTTTTTCAAAAATGTTTATAATAATTTTTTTCTTAAAAATATATTATTTAAATAATTTTTTTTCTTCAAAATTACTTTAATTTTTTCTTCAAAAAATTGTAATAATTTTTCTTCAAAAATGTATTGCTTGTAATAATTTTTTTTCAAAATTCAAACATAATAATTTTTTCTTCAAAAATAAAATTTTTCTTTCAAAATGTATTGTTTGTAAAATTTTTTTCTTCAAAAATGTATTTTGTAATAATTTTTTTCAAAAAAATGTATTACTTGTAATAATTTTTTTTAAAAATGTATTGCTTGTAATAATTTTTTTTCAAAATGTATTTATTAATTTTTTTTTCTTCAAAATATATTTTTGTACTAATTTTTTTTCAAAATGTATTGTTTGTAATAATTTTTTCTTTTTATTTTTGTAATAATTTTTTCTTCAAAATATTTAAATAATTTTTTTTTCAAAAATGTATTGTTTGTAATTTTTTTTTTTTAAAAAATGTATTTTTTTTGTAAATAATTTTTTCTTCAAAATCAAAAATTGTTAATTTTTTCTTAAAAATGTATTAAAATGGCAAAACCTTTTTTTATACTTAATTGGGGGTAAAAATTTCTCATAGTTGGGAATCTACAACCCCAGAGGACCTGGGAACACTGCAATTAAAATTTTGTTCCACACCCTGAAAATCTCCTGACCAGAGGCCTTGCTGTCAGATTTAGTTTATTGTCTCACCCAGGACGGTCAGTAGCTGGACAAAGCCAGTATTGCTCATAACCACAGCCATCAAACAAACAAATTTCAAACAAATTAATCTACACAAGGGTTGTCAATCTGTGGTATGGTTTTTCATTCACCAACAGTGCTACATTCTGGAATTGTCTCCCTTGGTTGATATTATCAAAAAAGACACCTTGATAAATCAATCATATTTAGATTTGAACCAAAGTTTCATGGTTGGTTGGTTGGATGCTTTTATTTAATGATATATCAACCTCTATGGGCCATTTGCTGCCAAAGTCTAAATATTTTGTATGCAATTTTATGGCTTCAGCTATGGATATTTTGCATGTCATTTTATACTTTCAGGTCATATAATATTAGTGGCATGCATGCATACATGCATGCATGCATACATTTTGTATAAAAAAAAAAAAAAAAAAAATAATTCCAAGAGTATAGAATCCAGGTAGAACTCAATGTCCCGGACAGAGTAAGGATATAATAAAAAGGCTTAAACACTGATATTCCATGGTCATAGTTTGTAGATGATAAAATGTATTGCTGGTATTTTTATACTTTAGTGCTATATTAATTGTCATTTTGCTATTAAAAAAGTATTACTACACTTAAACCACCAAACAAAATATCAAAACAACATTTGCCCATAGCTGGGACCCTAACAAGTGCTACCACCTTGGCTCGTGGTGGACCTAGAAACAACAGCAGTTAAGACTCATAGTTGCAATTCTAACTCTTTAACCACTTCACTCATATAATAGGGAGAAATTATTGCTGGGTCCACAGAGTCAGGTTTGGTCCTCCATCACATTCCTTATCCAATAAAAGGTGAAAACGCCCATCTCCTCTTTAAGGTTGGTAGGTCATACTGACTTACTAGTAACAGTACTCTGTAGGTGTATTTTACTCTTCCTCATTAAATGGGGACCAAAGAATAATGCCATGTCCTTCATGGAATTTTAGAGGGCAAGGGACATGTGGCACTTGGCAGTGAGTCTCCTCTCCAAGCGAAAAGAGATGAGGTAATACGGTGTTGCATTGTCTCAATAGCAGAAAAGAACTTAATGACAGGACTTCCATTTCTTGCGAATAATAAATATGCTGAATGGAATAGAGCTGGGAGAGAATAGAGTTCATGCCTTTTTGTCGTTAGTATTTTCATAAACTGAACACATGCCATCACAGCCAGGATTTGACACCAATTTGCCGATTCTTTTGAAATAGGCCTTTATGTGATCCCACCCCATTTACACACTTGCAGATGACTGAACAAAAGGCAAGACTGATTTGTTTTACTACAGCCTATCAACCCATTGCAGGTTATTTTAAGAAAGAAAAGTATTTTTAGATTATAATTTTTTTTTTGAGATAATGATTTAGTTATGTAAGTTTTACTAATTAACCCATAGCTGGTAGGAGAAGATGTAGATTCATACCTTTCCCAAGGGTTATTTGAATATAAAGGAATATAATCAGCCTAACTGGAATTGAAACTTGGCTCTCTGATTAAAAAATTCCAAGCCATTATCCATTACATCACCTGCACATCTAAGCTTACAACACCTGGTATTTCTAAGCGGTCACCCATCTAGGTACTGGCCAGACTCAAAATTGCTTAACATTGGTGATCGTACAGGAACTGGTGTTTCAACATGTTGTGGCCGTATGGTAAGGTAAAACAATTTTTCTCTGGTCACTTATTGAGAAAAAAATATTACTTGAATTAAAATTAGAAAGATGAATAGATAAATTTTGATTAAGTAATATATTAAGTAAGTAAATACTTACAGTCATTTTGCTCAATAATGGATGGATAGATTTGGCCCAGCTTATCAGTGTGAGCATCCCTTTGGCCAAAGCAGACACCAGTGATGGGGCTATAAAAAAAAAAAAAAAAAGTGTAGTTTTTGACAAGAAAAATTTTTTTCTTCTAATTATTTTTGTATTCAAAGTATAGAAGAATTAAAAAAAAAAAAAAAAAAAAAAAAAAAAAAAAAAAAAAAAACAGGTGTTATAGAAAAGGATTTTATATAACCTAAAGGTAGTTTCGCCAAACAACAAAAATTGCAATAAAACCAAAACCTGAAAACCCGTCTTGTTCTTAAATAGCTTCATCAGATCAAGACTTTCCTATGGATGTCATACATAGCATCAGACCCATTCAGAAATATCTAAACTGTCAGCTATATAAAATCCCTTTCTAAGATCAATGATTAAAAATGGTTTAGAGTGAGTTAAGCCTGAGGGTCTTGGCAAAGATCCTCCTTCTTTGAACCTTGTGGACTGGTGCTACAGAATCACAAAGAACTGTACCAAATAACAGAAACCCTATCGCTTGAGGACTACCAACAGCAGTAACAGCTAAAATGGATAGCACATGTAACTTGAAGAGAAAACAATGATGTAATTAATATGTTCACATTCCACATGGCTTAAAATAAAAGGTTAGGAAAGAAACGCCTATCAAAGAGCTATAACAGTTACCGGACTGGAAAAATCCATTTTCTTGAAATTTTTTTTAAGAGAAAAATTTTATAAAATTTCAACAAATGCTAGCAGTGGCTGCTTGGTCAATGAATACCGAATGTTTCCTTATAAGGAAACGGCTAATATTACAATTACCATAACAAAAGTTAAAGTGTAAATTATTAGGTCATTTCAAAAGTTTGAGCCCTATTTTCCTTGTTAATATAAAATGACCAACTTGACACTGGGTTTGTTTCATTGCTGATCTCTGGTGTGTTCTTGATTGAAAACTTGTATTGTTCAGTTGTGAGTCAGACTTTGTTGAATGTTGATGTTTTGTGCACAAACAAAGGTCTTAAAGATGGAGGCTGAAAAGTTGTCATGTTATGCTCTATGGATTTTGGAAACGAGTAAGTCTTGGAACTGTGATGAAAGACATTCAGGAGGTCCATTTAGTTTTTGCTCTGCTCTTTGGACAGTCAAAAAGTGGTTTGGCAGATTTTGTCAGGGTGATTTTAATCTAAATGACCGGCCACGCTCCGGATGACCTCCTGATGATGAAGACGCTCTGCTCGTCTGTGAAGAATAAACAAGTTTTTGATGGAAAAAAATAGTTAAGACTTTGGAAACCAATATCTTGACTGCCTTTCGGCATTTGGAGAGATTTAAGTTGGTTTCCAAAAACTCTACACATGTATTCCATATTTTCTGATGAAACAGAACAAGTTAGATTGGGTTTCTATCGTGATTTCTTTGTTATTGTGCCATAGAAATGGGCCTTTCTTGGACAGAATTATCACAGGTGATGAAAAATAGAATGGTTGACACAAATGGGGCTGAAAACAAGTTTGTGAATGTGCCGAACATATGGCTAAAGTCGGTTTGCATCCAATGAAGGCGTTGCCATCTGTTTGATGGGATTGCAGAGAAATAATTTACTTTGAGCATCTTCCAGTTGACAAAACAATAACTGCCAAAAAGCATTGCGACTAATTCCCCAATCTCAATGCAGTATACAAGAAAAATGGCTGATTTTGGCAAATAAAAAGGTGTCATTTTCCATGATGACAACATCACTGCATGTTGCAAAATGGACCTTGCAGAAGCTTGAAGTGTTAACCTTTACACACTGTATATAACTTCATTTGCTCTACAATATTTACATTATTCAGACTATTGTCCTCATCTTGTCACCATATTTATTACGTTTCAGCCATCTTCAGGTGTTTGGAATGTCAAACTGAACCCTTTATTTCGTTGACTGTTCTAGTTCCACATGCCAGGTCTAATTGATATCAGTTATCAGTTATCTCCTGTTAATTCCCCTCTCCAAGTTCTCCACCGCCTTAACCAGGTATTGAACTCACACTCTTTGGGTCCTGTCACTGGATCTAACTAACACCTTTATCCACTGTGCCATGTGCTGTACAAAAAATTTATCCTGTCACCAAATGTGACTGGACTCTGAATTTAAGTTTCATAGATGTGTTGTTATATCCTGCTATGGCAACAGAAAACACCTTTGAGTGATATTAACAATAAGGTTACTGAAACTGAGAGGCCTTGAAAAAGAATGCAATGTAAAGAAAAGTAATATTAATAACGCAGAGTGCTAAAGGTTAAAATGGGAAGCCCTCCAGCACCCACAGAATTCTCTTCAAGGAGTTCTTTCAGGTTTTCATTTGTTCTGATCTCTACAGAACATTTTAAATGACAAAATATTTGACTGTACAGTCAGTTGAAAATTACTTCACACCCTTCTTCCAACGAAACAGTTTCTACAAAAATGGTGTCAAGTTTGTAGAATGATGGGAGACAGTTGCTAAGAAAACTGGAGACAACGTGCTTGACTAATAAACGCTCTTTGGGAGCATTTCAAATTTTTTTTTTTTTTTTAAAAAAATCAGACAAACTTTTGCAATGAGCTAATAAATTGTTTATTAAAAAGTGCAATAGGTTAGTGTCTCTGGATGCCATGAAATAATTTAGAAAACCTGTTGATCAAGTTTATAGATGTGCAAGCTGTGTAACCAACTTGCAAAGAGAAATCTAAAGGTTCCTCTAGCCTTGGATGGCAACCAGTCTAGGGGAAGAGAAAAAAATTTTGAAACCAACCTGTCAGGCTATCTTTGCCCTAGACACATGAGTGTTACTATGATTGCAGCCCCTACAACTTTAATGGGTTATGTTAGTCTTGATGCAATGTTGATCAAGTTTGATTCCTATAACATAAAAGCAACAAAGTCAGCAGTCAGGGCAGAAGGTCCCAATGGAATCAATTCACGTGTTTGTAACCAAGGCAAACCTTCAAGTGGATTTGGCTGACTTGGAGAGGAAAGGAGTTATTTTAGGTCTGTTTAGAAAAACACCATAAATGAATACCCCAACTTCAACATGCAGAGGGAGCTGGTAAGATACTCAGTTGTGCAGTAACCCCAAGACCACATCTGGTCATGCAACTAATGAGGATGAAGAAAAAGAAAAGTTCATTAAAATTTTCCTCTAGTTAGCAATCTAGTTGATTAAATTATCTACTAGGGTAGTGTTAGTTCATGCCTCCAATGATACCTAAATTTTGGTGGCCATGTTTAAAGATAAGTTTAGTAAGCCTTTTTTTTTTTTTTAAAGATGAGTAAAAAAAACTTGAGATATTAACCTGGGTTTAACATCATAAAATGCCTTTTTTTTGGGGGGGAAAAGGATAGAAAGACTTGTTAGTTGATACTTCTCTCAAGCTTAGCTATGTCTTTGCAATGTGTCTGTGACCCAAGTGAGCCTTCAAGTGGAGAACATCGGCTGTGGTCATTTCAAAAAGAGGGATAGATTTTGCCAGGTCAAATTGTCCAAGACATGCTATGCATGAATGAATACCCTCTGGTTTTCAGCCCAGATATGTGGAGGAGGAAGCTGGCCAGGTGCTTAATTATGCTGCAACTATGACCACACTTAGTCATGGGGCTAAATGATTAAATATAAAACAAAAAAATACCTAAGTTTGCCTTTGGTAAGCAAGTTAGTTGAACAAAATATATGTTTTGGGAAAGTGAGTTCATGCCTAAAAGATGCCTAATCTCTGTGCAGTAATTATTTTTAAAGAACATTAATAAAACTCAACCTGATTTATAAACCTAGATAAACATTGAGAAAAAACTTTTTTATGTGGATATGTGGGGGGGGGGGATGGTTTAAAATTGAATCGAAAAAGACTTGTCATCATTACTTTTATCTTACCTCCATCTTTGAAATGGGGAGAACTCTAAAAGATTCAGATAATCCAGTTTCATACCTGGGTGGATGAAAAAGGTACAGTCAAAAAGTAATACAAAAAGAATTTTACAATAACATTACATTGCAAATATGCTGATCTGAGATAAAGTTTTACAAAACGTCCAAACATTTTAATAAATAAAATCTTTTATTTGTATAAATTCATAGCATTATTATTCAGTAATTTGGCTTTTTCTGACTGTAGGCGACATTTTACCTAAATTTGTTTTCAAAAAAAAAAAAAAAAAAGCAGTATAATAAAAAATATTTTATTTTTAGAATATTTTAAGGCTTTCCACAACTTCCTATATTTTCTAACTCTTAGCAATATTTATCTTTTCATATTTCCTCCTATGTTTGTTCTGCCATCTGTTTACCCAAGCCTATTATCTAATGTTACTTGAAGTTACCTTTAACCATCTGGCCTTTGATATGTTCTGTGAGTGAGAACATTTAGATAAATTTAAGGGAGAATTCTGAAGATTGGTGAAATGGTTTGTAGCAACCCACAGACAAAAGTTTTCAACAGATAATTTTGTAGCTTCATAAATCAGTCATCAAACTATTTTAATTTCCTCTTTTTTTTGACCACCCTAACTTTCAGATGAATTGCATTTTCCGATTATAGAAGAGGGATTCCACTTTTAATTCAAGGAATTTTTTTTTTGGTATCTTTTTTGAGTCTAGGATTTCTGTTTAAGAGTAGAGGTTTATCCCCTGAAGTCTGTTTAGGATAAAGTTTGTTCCTTCTAAAGTCTACTTCAACTCCATACATTCTAACAGTCCCCACCTGAAACTGTTTTTTTAGCTTTCAAAAAAAACTTTTTATTCACATATATATTAATTTACATTTATTTGAACAAAGTATTTATAAACAAAAGGGTTTTTTTTTTTATCCTCTGCCAGACGGCAATGATGGAGAAAGCATTACCT